TGTTATAACTTAGAAGGCAAAGGAGAGCAAACACAAGCTTTAACATTAAAAAATGCACCCGAAGCACGCGAAAAATGTTTTTGTTCTAAATTCTAATTTCGTCGGAATTGATCAAAACTCCCTAAAATGTGCAATTTTTAGAGGAAATTGGCCGACCTCAACAAAATATGCGTTATAAAATTTGAGATTTTCAGGCACTTTCCCGGGTGAAAAGGGCATTCAATGGGGAAAGATTTTCCATAGATGGATATTTTCCCCTTGTCCCCCGGTGGTTACGCCACTTTCTCTTCTCTTTTCCTTTTTCCTTTCTTTTTCTTTCCCCTTCTTTCTCTTTCCCTCCCTCTCCCCTCTTTCTTTTCTCTTCTTACCCAGCCAGGTACGACTGCTTGGTCAGCCCGGTAAAAACCGTCATTTTCCCGGAAAGAACTCGAACCTCCCTTTCTCTGGGTTCATGGATTCATTATAATAATTTTCAAGAGGGGAACACCTTGAATTTTGAAGAACTTAAAAGTAATTAAGTTCTTCAAAATCAAGGTTTTCCACTCTTGAAAACGGTCAGATAATTTTTCCCATTGTTATTACAGTAAATAGGCCTTTTGTGTGTATACATACATAAAAAAAGATTGAGTAAGTTGCATACGTAGTTTTTTCATGAATCGATAAATCCCAAAAGAAAGGGTAGGGGGAGGTCCTGTGGTTCTTCCCCGGGAAAATTTTGATTCCTAGGTGGCGGGAAATGAGCTTTCCCGACTTCTGTGGTGTCTTTTAATGACTTTTAAATTCTTCAAAATTCAAGGTCCCCCCCCCCCACCTTATGATTCAATTAATCAATGAACTCCAAAGATAAAGGGGGTCCAAAGATAAAGGGGGGAAATTTCGATTTCTAGATGGCGGGAGATGAGCTTTCCTGACTTCTGAAATGTCTTTTAATGACTTTTAAAGCTCTTCAAAATTGAAGGTTTTCCCCTCTTGGAATAGGTCATGTAAATTTTTCTCATTTTTTATTTTATGTGTGTATACATACATAAATAAATGTGTAGTTGCATGCGTATTCTTTTTTCCATGAATCGATAAATCCCAAAAAGAAAGGGTGGTCTGGGGGTTCTCCCCCGGGAAAATTCTGATTCCTAGATGGCGGGAATTGAGCTTTCCCGACATTTGAAGTGTGTTTTAATGAATTTTAAAGTCTTCAAAATTCGAATTTTCTAATAGCCAAAAAAAAAAAGCTCACAGGTCCTGAAAAGGTAGGTCTAGAATTCTTTTGTTTTTGCCCTTTTTTTGTTGCCCAAGGGAGGGGTCAGGACCAATGTCCCCCAGATCTGCCAATATGAATTGCGAGAAAACTCGGTCGGGTACTGGATAAACATTCTCTTTCCCATCCTTCTCCTCCTTCTTCCCTCCTTTTTTGCATTTCCGATCATACAAAAATCTCCAGACATTATATATTTCTGGCCAAAAAGTGGGGGGCCCCCACCCCCGCTTCCGCCGGCCATGTTAAAAATAACATGCATTGTATTTTGACTACTTATAGAACGCAATCTGACTCTGTATATTAGTAGGCTTACAAACTTTTCCTATCACTAGCAGGCCCTAGCATCAGTGGCGGGTCTTGAAATGGAAGGGAGCTGATGGTATTAGGAAGGTAAAGTGGGGGATCGGTGATTATGAGGGGATAATTCGCAAAATAAGGTGATATGAGGTGATTTTTAATTACTTGAGCATGATTTGTGGGTGGGGGGACTGGGCGATGGGCGAGTATTTTTTTTTTCAGGGTTAGGGGGAGGACGTGCGGCTTCTTGTACATCCTAGATATGCCAATACCTCGCATACCCTGCAATTTACCCTACGGTCCGCCAGTGCATTTACATAATACTATATTCTATACTATCCTATAGTCTTTGGATATTACTTTATACCCTACAATTTCTGAAAGCAAATTTAAATTCTTTAGTAATAAAATTTCTACAAACTATCAAAAGTCCGTGATTTATCGAAAGATGACATTTATAATTTTATAAATGTAATTCTGTGAGCATTTCAAAATGTGAAACGTATCTGATTAATTCATAGAGGAGCAGAACCAGGAATGTGTAAACTTGGAGCACCAGTAGAAAGTGAGACGTGCTAGCGTGGGAATTCGACGATAGGAAGTTGCAAAGGGCTTGCCCGCACCCTCCCGAAAAATATACGTGTTCAGTTTATCCTGTGTTAAGAAATACTTTCAATTATATATTCCATTTAAAGTACTTATTGGTAAAAATAAAATAAATTTATACATGGGCTGAACCAGGGTGCAGGATTAATGCCTGACACTTCTCAGCACACCATCACGAAGCTTAAAAAAATGTACATCAGACTAAATGGCTTTTATTCTGTCCACTGATGTCATCTGACTCTTGTTTGTCGTCATGAGTATGAAATGCGCGTTTCCTTTTAATTCTTGTTTGCAGCGTTTTATTTTTGGTTTGCTGGTAATTTTTGTTTTTGTTTGCAGCGTTTCTTTCTTCTTATCCTTTTTTTTTTTTTTTTGCATTTTTGTTTGCAGCATTTCTTTTTGTTTTGCAGTGTGTCCCTTATGGGCCATCGTAGAAATTGAACCGGGGACCAAGAGAACACATGCTAACATCAGCTCTCACTCTAATGCTCCTAATCGTCTATCGGCAGTAAACACAGAAAGTTGGAATCTTATACACATCTAGATGTGTATAAGAGACAGAACAAATACCAAACAATGGATCTAAAGCTACAAATATTCAAAATAGCCAAATGAATTGTGAAAACCATCAGCCCTATGGAAATCATACAGTTTGATATTTATTCAGGTATAAAGACATATACAATTACAAACAAGGAATATAAAAGTAACGACATATACAAAAATATAGTATCTATATTATTATGATTACTATTATTGCTACAGTTCTAATAAATACAGAAAAGCGGATTTGTGTTGTCCCATATTCTGTAAACATTTAATTTGATTTCTTTTACTTCTCGACAAATTGTGTTTAGAACCTCGTGGCCCAGTTCTACCCAAAGGGAAAGACCTGCCCTCTCCCGCATCTCGGCGCCCCTGTCCCACTGGTCTACTAACTGAACTTTGTATGTTTAAATTGATGAATGAAATGTTCTTGTTTCCTGTATCTTTTGCTTTTGTCAAACATAGCCGGAAACTCTTTAGAAAATGATTAAATTCACTATTATTTTTTTTAGGCTTTCATTTAACACAATTTTTGTTGGCAAATTGTTTGCTTTTTTTGCTATAATACTTTTCCGAATAAAATATATATGAAATTAAGTAACAATAATAATTAATAAGCAAACACGTAAGCAATACACAATAATATGTTCACATGTGCAGTGTAGGTACATGATCTGTCTCTTATACACATCTAGATGTGTATAAGAGACAGAACCACATCGGGTGATCTGTAAAAGGTGCACAGAAGAAAGTCTTATAGAAATATAATTGTATAAATTACACTGAAATTTGTGTTCGTTTTATTGACTGAAACAGATAATGATGGCGCTGACACTGTACTGTACTGACAATAGAAAATATTATGATAATGTAGCAATGACGTTCACTGCAACAAGGATGGCAACGAAAAAAAGACAACAACAGCAAAAGACACAGCACAGTCAAATCAAAATCACAGGGACAATCACAACCATTGTCATAACCACAATGACAATCATAATTAATACAATCATAATATCATTTCTTCTCGAGTTTATTTCAAATTCTCAAAATCATTATGAAAGTTTCAAAAGCAATTTGGTTTGATTTGAATTGAATTTATTCAGCAATCAGAGTAAAATACAAAAACAATGAAGACAAGACAAGGAAAAACAAATACAATTGAAAATTCTGAAAGCAATGAATAGCCGATAAAGGTTTCAAAGAAACGTATTTCCATTGGATTCCTGCAAACGAAACATTCAATTGCTAAAAGGAAGAATTTTGAAAGTAAGACAAGATAAAAAGATCAACAATTTCAAAATGTAAAAACCAATAACAATATGACTGGCTTCTGAAAGTCTTTCCAAGGCATATTCTGATATAATTCATCATTATACTCATTTGATATATCTTTTAATATTTTAGTTTGACTTACCGCATGGTGTTATTGGACGAGGTGCCTCAACGACATCCCACCCAGCTTTTGAGAACAGCTCTATCTGATAGCAAGGTCTTTCTGGGTTGACTAAAACCAGACCAGGTCTCAATAAGCACAGGGACGCATCTATATGCATCGGAGCATCATCTACACATTGCACAATGTGGATTGTATAGTCATCACCAATTTGACGTCGAAGCCACTCAACACCCATTCGGTTTGTTGTCTGAGATTGTAAATAACAAGATTGGTATCCTCAGTAAAACGTTTTATTGAAAAGTGATTTATTATAGACCTATAACAGTAAAACAATATAGTACTCACGTGACTTAACTGGCAAAAAATGTCCTTTCCAGCACGTTGAAAATCAGCAGCGTCGAAGCAAGGTTCAAATTCTGTCGTCACAAATTGACCTCTAGCTGGCAATTCTAGTCTCTCATGGGATTCAATATAACCCTATAAAAGGTTCAATAATTAAATATTACCAATTCATAACCGAGTCCAAACTCTGATCAAGATTACCATTGATTTACACTTTGCTGTTGTGTTGGCCTTGCATCAATATATTTTGCAAAAAGAATTTTAAACCATAATGACACAATCCACTTTTTAATTTCAGTGTGTGAAGTCTGTCTTCGCATGAGTGTAAACACCATTTTGGTGACCAGATACAATAGAAAGTAAATTTTGTAAAAAATTGTCATTCAAAAATGTAGCTGAATGAGTCGATCGGAAAACTCCAGCAAAGCATATTTCCGGGGAAAGTGAAAGAGACATTTAGAAAAGTACCAAGAACTCTTTGTGCCGAAAGAAATAAAGAGAACCATGTAAAGTTGGAAACACCTTGAAGAAATTCCTCAGAATAGACAGATTATCATCATCATTTTATACCATAAAAGCCTGCTTCTTAAAAACCGTTCTTCGAGAACCTTTCCTAACTATACTGGATTACTGATAGAACTTGTGCTTTTTCCATATCATCTCTGAATTTTTTTTCAATTGTTGGTGGTACGTTTGATTCCATAAACAAAATTTGTTTCTGCCACTTGTCATTTGACATCCTTGTCCCGTCGGACAGGCCTAAACCCCCTATCGTCCGACGCACGCGACTAAAGTCGTCGGATCAAAAATATTAAAAAAATTATTTGTCTTTCCAAATGACGTTATTTTGAATGCCATCCCTAATATTGTGGTCTAAAAGCACATTTTGGACCATACTAAGCCATAAAAGCTCTCACCATGAACCCTACAATTTTTATTAGAAGAAAATGTTAAATTGAAAGGCTCTATATAGAAACACCTACTGTAAAACCTAATGCAAAACATCATATTATAGTACCTAGCATGTCATAAAGCTCATCGCTCATTTGTGGTTTAGGGGCTGTTGTCCACTTAGCGCCCTCTCTGAAATATTCTTTCATCAAACGGCGGTATGCACGATACTCAAAGAAACGACACCTCCAAGCCATTGGACTTTCAATGATTTCCTCACCAACCACAAGCAGGAGATCACGTGGCATCGCTGAATACAATCCTACATACAACATATATATATATTTTTTTTAACAATCTTATATTGGTTTGGGAATGGCTGCATTTATGTACCACTCTTGATTAGTACTGTAGAAAAATACATATAAAACAGAAATTTTATAATCATAATTGAACAGAGATTACGAATAAAATCTAGGCCTACCACTTGTCACATGAATATACCAAAACACATTAACACTTGGCAATCATTGAAATGGTAATTGACAGCGTCGAATGTGTCATGAAGACACCTTTTAAGGTACTGTAGGATGTTAATTCAACGACACGCACGTGGGCAAAGTGTAACCTGCAAGCCACATTTTGTTGCTGCTGGAGATAACCCTGTAAACTTTGGATATAAAACCCTTTGTTTTTAAGGCCAGATATATCTCAGACCCAACACTACTGTGCGGCACCAACAATAAAAATGCATAGTCAATTCTAATATACTATTGTCCTATTAGCATTTGAATGAACTTGTCAATGCCGTCAGTTTACTTACCCGTCGAGCTGAAATCAGGCGTGGAATACGATTTCGAATGATCGAGGACATCCGGTCGTCGAACCTTCACTCCTTCGTGTTCTAAAATTCGGCAAAACTCCGCAATCTCTAACGAAGCCTTCCTCATGTGTTC